CTAAGGTACTGAAACCGAAAACGTTGCTGCCTTCCAGAACGAATTTATTCTGCAACGAGGGCGTGATTTACACCATTATTACAGACAGAAGATACAAGCTAATGTGATATTCATGCACTGTAAAAGTTTCTGCATAGCTCGCCGTCTTTTCACTTCTCTTTAGTCCCCCCTTGAACGCTCAGATTTTATTCTGCATTCTCATTTTATACCCCCTACCATTTGAGAACGCACATGGCTACAGAACATTTCACTGCGTATTTTATGCAAGTGTATATTATTATACCAATATAGCAAATGTTGCAGCTGCAAGAGGAAAGTTGCATTTGGATTCCGGACGTCTAATAAAACTATAGGTTAAAGACAGCCATCGTTCATTAAATATGAGGACAGGATCCTTTTATTATTATTATTGGGAAATATTGGTATTAAAAAAATCTTGTAAATAATGAAATATGATTACAAACAATGGAAAATAAGTTGAAGGTTATGAATGATTGAAATTCATAAATGATAAACTCAAAAATAGAAAATATATTATTTTTTCTTAGTCTATGAAAACATGTTTACTGTGTTCTTACATTGTTATATAGTTGAAGAACCGCCTGAAGTATCAGTAATTTACATAAACTCTTCACTGATTTTTAACATGTTTGCACTTTTTATTCTCAGCAATATTATCAATGTTAACGGTTCCACAGATCCTGTGAGACTAAACCCACCTTATTCCATGGTTCTGCTTTTATCCTCATGCTAGTGCCATCTAACGCCAGGATTGAATACTTCTGACTCGTGTTAATGACTCGGGGATGCTTCCCTTTAAAGTAACGTTGTTTGGTTAGTTTATTTACAAATTTTTTGAATTACATATACTGTAATGAGATGTGTTAACGAAGGGCCAAAAAAACTCGGCTGGAATAGAGGAATGTTCGCACATCGTTTGTACTATTAAGGTTTATAATCTTTTTTCTGAATATTATTCAATGAAAGTGGTGAACTCCAAACTTCTGTTTACACGGTTTGCTTGTCTCACAAATTTGGGAGAATGTGTAAATACCTTGTAAATACTTGTACATTACTACAGAATTTACAATAGTGAGGTTTGGTTTGTTTTGGTGAGAGGAAATTCTAATGGATGATGAGTGATTCTGATGATACTGATGTTTTACTCCTAATTCCACCTGACCTATTCCTTGTAACATCGTCTTCAGAATCTGACGACAGTTTTGACCGTGAGAAAGTGGACTATAATCGTAAAGGAACCGGAGTGATATCAGAACTTGTGGAACATATGCAGTCGCTTGAAAGCAGAATTATTGCTATTGAATCCAAAGATAACAGCTTAGATGCGACTTTACTAAACAATTCATTGGATTCACAATTTCAAAGTAATACATCTACTAAGCTTAGACAGACGTTACCTAGAACTAAATTCTATGTAAGTCAAAGCTCTAGCTTACAGAGTACACCTGTAAAGCCTCGGCAATCCTTATCTGTTCCTTCAACTCCTAATGGTTACTCATTGTCAAACCATATTAATTTTCATCATGATGACATGAAATCTGGGAATAATATTTCTAAGGTTAATGGTACTAATACTACTAACGCTAATGATCATGACAAGAATAAGCATGATTGTCTAATATCCCATTCTGACTCCTCTGTGGTGGTACCTTTTGTTTCTTGCAGTGTGGGTTTCCCGCATGCTATTGGTATTTCTTCCAAAGGGGAACCTTGCTCGTATTCATTTGATTATTCTAAGAATACAAATAATATGTATAATAAACCTTATGTTAATCCACTGAGTTCAATGCCATCTATTTCAACTTTAATTAGCACAACAGAACAACCAAATTCTTATTCTAAAGCTATCATACAAGAGATGGAGCTATTTGAAGTGGATGAGCTACTCCAGGAAATGGAAGCAACTGAACAAGAATTATCAAAACGTATAAATAGAGCCTCAGTGCATCAATCTTTTAAGGAAGATAATGACACTTCAATGCCTGATCAAAGTAGTGATACATTAAGGAGCAAGGTTCATGATGATACACATAAACAATCCTTTAATCGCAGATTGGAGTTTGCCTTGCAAGATTCCACTCAGTATCATAATGGAAGATCACTTCCATCTCAAAAAAAGAATTCTGATGTATTTCCTGATATATCTCTCCCATATAATGATTCATTCTACATTGATCGAACAAATAAAATGATCTCAGAGTTTAAAGTATGGGAACAAAGTGTTAAAAAACCAATATTAAAGACTGAACAAATAGAAGATATAAATACAATAAAAAATATAAACAATTTTAATAAATCAATATTTAATGCAAATGATGCAAAACGAAAAGAATCTATTGTAGAACAAGTACCTGTTAGTGTAAATGATACAAATAGTGCAGGTACAAATAATACCCTTGCTGTGCATACACGACCTGTGCAAAAAAATTCAGAGTCTTCATTGCATAATGAATTATCACAATATAATACTGCAACATCAACAAGAAGTACAGAATCATATGCACCATGTTTAACAGAGACCTATAGAAGTTCCCAACAGAATGGTAATGTTCAACATACAAAAGAAGTGCATGAAGTACCATTTACTGTACATAGTAAAAATACTGTTAATGCTTCAACTAATACAGATATCTTTCCAAGGTATTTCTGTTATGAAAGTATTATTTTGTATTTATTATCTGACATATAAAGTTATGTACTATTTCACTTGCATTACAGGAAATCACAAAGGCTTCTGTCATTATCCGATTTTTGGGATGACACTGGCACTAAATCTCTAGATGAAATGCGTAGAATTAAATTAGAAGAAGAAAAATTTCGGCGTGAGGTATGTAAAAGTTTATATCAACACATGTTATTTTCATTAATTAAGTGATGTTTTCAATAATATAAAAAGTATCCTACAGCATTGTGAACATTTAATTCAAGAGCTTCAAAAACGACTGCTGGAGCAACAAGAAAAAGTTGCAGTAGCTCTTAGAGTAGATAATGAAAAAAATGAATTAATATCACAGTTTCATAATGGATGGTCTAAATTGAAACAACGAATTCACGTTTTAGAAAATGAATACAGTACTTTACAAACAAATCTAAAAAATGTAACAGAGAAGCATCAATTAGAAATTTCGGAGTTTCAATCACAAATTAAACGATATGAAGGAGAACTATCTAAAGCTTTAGATCTTGCAGCTGGTTATAAAGAAAAAAGTGATAATGCGATGAAAGAAAAAGTTGAATTGTTAAAAAGTCATGCTGATGAGTTAGAAAATTATAAATCATTTGTGCAAGCAGCTGAAAATAGGTGTGAACAATTAAAAGTAGACTATGATAAATTATTAGAAAAAAATAAACAAAATGAAGAAACCATAAAAAGTCATCAACAAGACTTAACTAAAGAACGATTAAAAGGTGTGGAAGTTAGAAATGAAATGAATGTTATTCATAAAGCATTAGACACTTGTGAAGCTGAACTTACTGTATTGAGGCAAGAAAAGGAAAATTTACAATTGAAATTAAAAGAAGAAATAAATAGAAATACAATCTTAGATCAAAAAAATGCTGCACTACTTTCATCAATCGATGATGCAAAAAAAGCAGAGGTAATGTATCTATTAGTATTGTTTTATGTTTGTAGGAATATTAATTTACTAACCGCTGTATTTGTAGAAAGTAGCTAAAGATGAAACTAAATCTCTTGCCGAGCAAAAAGAAAAAATTAGATTGGAAATGCAAGAAGTATATCAGAAACAAGTCGATGAAGTTGTAAAAGTTAAATTACAAGAATTCCAAACGCAGCTTGATGCCGCAGAAACAGAATTCCTTGAAGAATTAAAAACCAGACAGCAAGTTATTGCTGAATGCGCGGCAAGGAAAATTAAAGATGTTATTGATAAGTATGTTTGTTTATTTCCTAAATACATTTTTATATTATTTAAGAAAAAGATCAATAGGTTGTTAATAAATAAATGCATTGAATTACTTAGACATCGACTAGAAATAAACTTAGTAGAAGAAAAACATAAAGAAGAGATACGATTGTATGAACTCCAGTTGGCACAAGCTTTACAAAAATCGGCCATATTAGAGGCGCAACTCAATTCTCAACGCGCTACCAAATCTCAGCTTGCTGAACAATTGCATTCTGTGATGCAAAAGCAATGGCAACAGGCGTTACAAATTATATCAGGTACAATTATCAAAGTGACTTATATTATAGTGTAGCATTGCGTTTAAATTAGAGTAATTGCATAACCTCTACATATACTCAAGGTGGAAATATGGAGGATTTAACACCACTTCAAAAAATTCACGCTGAAAAATTGTTCAGGGGCCCAAAAAAATCGGAATCAATGCCAAATTGTTATATGAAACTTTTACAAGAACCAACAAAATTAAAATTACAGACTGTAGATACAAAAATTTTTCATGATCAAAATGAGAGTTTAAGTACAATGACACCGATAGAAGACACTCCATTAAGTAGCAAAGACTCAAAGGATGACCTTCGAAAATATGTCAAAATGGTAAATTAAAGTTTAATTGTATACATCTCTTTGTCATTAAATAACATAAATTTATTTCAATGTTCCTAGATTGTTGATATGCAGAAATCAAGAGAAGAACTGTTGAGAGTCAGAGAAAATATTCAGAGTCCGCCATTAGTTTGTAGGGAAGTGCCTCGGAAACATTACACGAAAAAAGAATTGAGCATAAAGGATGATGACAGTATTATGTGGCAAGCTACACCTGAAGTGATTATATGTCGTTAATTTCGTCATCAAATTTCAAATTTCTAATAACTTTAATATCTTCATATTTCCAGGCTAGTCAAGATACCACTGAATGTATTTCAATTCCACAAAAAGTTTGCATGAAGGGAGATCAACAAAAGAATAAACCACCATGGAAATGATATATTAGTAGCAGCTCTGAAAATGTTGATTATGGAATTGATGAAGTGGACAATGTTTATACAGTGCATTTATTTAGCCCTAATTAAAATATATATACACACATTTTATACTCTAATAAAATGAATTTTCTAGAAAAATTGAGATATTAAAAACGAATGCTGTTTCCTTCTTCTTTCGCCCTATTTTACATTTTATTTTTAAACTTCTTATCGTTAATTGGTTCATTCAACGGTTACAAAAGGAACAGGATGTCCGATAACGGTGATAACTCCGTCTGTTCTATGTCAGATTAATGTTCAGTAATATACATATGCATCTTTCAGAACGTCTATACACAAATACTCATAATATTTCGTATTTTATATAATGAAAAGAATTTTTTCTATATATATATATAGAAAAAATAAGTAGTTTCTGTATGGTTTTAGTAAACTGAAAACATTCCATTCCACTTCATACTTATATATATATATATACAAGTATGAAGTGGAATGGAATGTTTTCAGTTTACTAAAACCATACAGAAACTACACCATATAAAGATAGCTTCGCGACAATATAGAATTATCTGTTGTCTAGCAGGTAAGATTAAGTCATCGCATCTCTCAGAAAAATTAGTCATCGCGGTAAGAGTCCTCGAAAGCTTAGGATTATACGATCACGAACAATACCCTTTCAATGGTGCCTTGTGCCCTGAATCATTATAAACTACCAAATTTGAACAGAAAAAAAATATTTCTAAAAAGAAATATAACGGATGGAATGTTTTTCTACGTAAATAATGTTAATGTATAAAATCTGTTTGACTCAATGTTTTCAGGTATTTATGGTGTAGTAACAGATATCATGAATCATGAGAATAATTAGTCATTTCGGACACGTTTTCGTAGGTTGAGGTGGTACGTCGAAGTTATTCAGAGAACTGTTACTGAATTGTATTTCGATAACGTTTCTTGAATAATAATCGTGAAGGAAAAGGAGTAAGACATGTCTCGTTTCACTCTACAGCCGCATACTAATTAAATATATCTCAATTTAAACGGTCGTTGAGACGTATTAAGTAATTAAGAGCTTGATTAATGCCTACACGCTGAATGCATACGAATAATATTTCTATATGTTTATTCGCGACTACAGCACACTGTTGAAACACAGCAGAATATTACTGCTATTGTAATCATGCATTATTGAACAACATAGATTATCAATATAATCGCGTGACTTTGTCAACGATTTATTTAAATACACAAATATTGATTCTCAAACTGCTACCTTCTGAAAACAATTTCTTAAAACCTGGAACATTTAAAATTCCTTATCTATTGTCACCAAAGGGACTCGAACTTTATTTCAAGAAAACAAAGACTGGATCAAACTCGGAAAAAACTAGAAATCTACAAAATTACATCAAATACCGCAACATTTATCGTTTCGTTCCAAAGATCCTATATTATAAATACATAAAATTCCCAGTCCCGTGTATAATTGATCGCAAAGGAACCTATGCAAACGGAAACTTTCTCTGGTCTATCGTTTTACGTAACAATTGCTATGGAAACGTTTCGGTCCGAATATTTTCGTTTCCCTAACTCGCAATCACGTTAACCGTGTTAAGGAGAGAAAAAAAAACTCGATCACTGATTCCCCATCAGCCGACAACCCCGATTCATCGACCTTCGATGGTATTCGCCGCGGCGCGTCACTCATTGTAGAGGAAACAAGCCTTGGTTAGTACGGGTCTCTTCGCGTTCGGTTTGCTTTTACCTTGAGCGAAACTCGCGTTCCAGCGTGCACGGGAACTATAAAAAACCGCTAAGATACGAGTGGTACGTACGGGCGAGAGCAAGCGGGACGAAATGCTCTAACAGTCGATGCCCTTCTTTAGCCGTGACAACGATCACGCCTACGATCGGGCACCGATCCTAAGCTAACCCGGCGCCAGTTATGAGGATTCTACGGGGGACGCGCGCGCGGGAACAAGTTGCCGATTGAAAACGAAAGAACAAGCAAGAATGCAAAGGGAGGAACGTGATAGTGGCCACCCCCTCTTCGGCCGTTGCAGATAGTAGTAGTCATGAGCGCGTCCGCTCTTCATTCTGCCCGGTTCCGTGGCCTTTAGTCACCGAGGCGGACCAACCGGGCGAAGAGGCAAGAAGTTCCGCGTGTGCCAAGTGGCTAGAAGCTTGAATGCGGCCAGGAGAATGCGGCCCGGAACGAGATGTTCGAGGCTCTGCACGCTGACAATAGTTCTGCTGCTGGTCGCCTGTATAATAGAAGACACCGGCGGTACTTGGAACAGGCGGGAGGACAAGACCAAATGCCCGAAAGTGAAGGCCATTAGAAATTTTGACATATCCGAGGTACGTACTCGCGGTGTCGTATTATCGTTAGGTCCACGGTAGTGTTCGCCGATCCGTGGAAGCCTAGATTCTGCTAGGTGTGCTTCTTCATTTGTGTGCGCCGTGTCGTGGATACCACAGTTTTCAATCGGGAGAGTGGAGACTTTTATTTTAAAAGTGATCCTTTTCGGAAGCTACATATTGTGTTTCGCAATAGGGACTCGATGAATCTTCGATGAAGGATCTAGAAGCAAGAGTTGTCTAGTTTACGTGGTACATCCGTTTTTCGTGTACCGTGAATCGGTGGTTTTGTTGTGCGAAATTTGCTAACGTGGTTATGAATGTTTAATGAGGAACAGGATTTTTTGGAATGACGCAAGTTCGACATGATTAAGTGTTCGTTGTGTTGATACTGATGGTACGGGAACTATAAATTTGGAGACATAACAAGACATTTTATAATGAATATTGTATTCCTTCTGTGGAAACAGAAAGTTTAAAATGCGAAATGAATTTAACATTGGTAGAGATAATTTAATTGAAATAAATACAGACCACTCTTGATATATTATGTTTATTAATAATTTATATTTAGCGTGTTTCACTGTTTTGGTTAAAAATGAAATATAATATAATATATAATTTATTTTCTATGGAAAAGACGCGAATACTGTTTTTGAATTTCCACTTAATTCGACAGCAACTTATGGCTTACTCGTTAATGTTTTCATATCACAAATGGATGATCACGTTGGACTTCTGATCAATATGCGTACTGAATGTGTAATAATAATTGCGGAGAGCGCAATTGGAGCGCATTCGTTGTTGAATACTCTGGATCGCATATAACTGCGATAACAGAAATTACAATTTCCTCTTCGATATCTGCCAGTTTTCTTTCATATCTTCAATGCAATTTATTTGTATATCCGGTGAAAAATTTACTTCATCAACAACATCCATTGAATAACTTTTTCAAGTATCGATCATCATTAGACGTCATTCATTTCCAATGAAATTACTTTTTCTTATTTGTTTGCTTCTTTCGTTCATTAAAAGAATCGGGACAAGCCAATGCAGAAAAGAATCCTTTGAAGATAACAATGCTAAATTATATTCCTTGCACTTTAATTACTTTCAAATGCGTATTATGCATCGTCCTGATTTTCCTCTGCACATTAATTATTTTAGATTTTCTCTGATGTCACGATATCATTACTAAAATGATCGTAACACTAACGAAGGGTAACACATTTGCTTATTTAAAATTGACTTCCCCTTTTTATTAACAGCCAGACCAATGCAATTGCGACGTCATCTCAGAGTTCACAAAGGATTATTTTCTTCAAAGTTATAATGTATGCATAGTAGGCAACGAGTTGCATAAAATATCGCGAGCTTTCTTTCAAAGGAAGACTCCAGGCAGCGTATTTTTGGACCTTTATGCGCGTTTAAGAGAAGGCTATTTCAGACACACCTCGTGCATATCAAACTATGTACTTGGTTCCATCGAACACCTTTGTGCTGCCTAACACGTTTATCTCGATGAGTTCGTTTCTTACTTCATTTTGTTGTGAATCTCTAAGAAGTAGATTAGTGCCATTAATTTTTCTGAGAATGTGTGAAAGCTGACAAAGACATGTTCTCCGTAATTAAGGAAAGTCTTAATCAGTATGGCTTCTGTGAATGGAATTACGTATACAATATAAATATCTAATGATTCATGTTCAGTGATCTATGGAATAAAATACTAATCTGACAATGATTACAAATATCTTTATACTTTGCAGCATTCTCAGAGTTTTACAGATTCTTGTGACACTTCTTTAAGGAAATATTTATCTCTCAAGTTTTTATTATATCTTAAATATTATTCCTTCAAGTTTTTTACTGTATATTCCTATATTTTCAACACGATATTTCGGTAACAATAAATTTTGCATGACAAACGTGAACTGAATTTCTCTAATAATGTTCTTTGTACCAAATTCATGTTCGGTTCTATCTACGATGACCATCGACTGCATTAGACCGTCGTTATTCTTTGGTAATCTCGACCAAGTCGATTCGGATAGGCCATGAAGCGACCCGTTTCCATTGATAACCCAAAAGTAACGATGCGATACGCATTTTTAAGATCGTTTTCGTGCTGTGGAAGATTTAAAGGGTTCAAGACTATTAGGATATTTGATATTCACTGAAAAGAGTTAGCGAACGTTTTATCGATTCAGAGTTCAAAATGAACGCGTTCCATGTGCGATGTGATCTTATGGTAGTAATAATGGCCCCTTTCACTATTATTCATTCTGAAATATTTTGTCTGTCCAGTCTGGAACGTAAATTACAGCATTTAAGTGAAATTAAATTTATATAGGCAACTTAATGTCACAGAGCATTTCGAAGATGAAACTTCCAATTTATTATTAACCGGAACTGACAATAGAAACTATTTATACAATCTCGTCACTTGCAAGAGCGATGGAGTACACTCGCTACACGACATTCTGCTCTATCCAGACGACTAAAAATAACTCGAGTATAGTTCAATTTTGAGGTTATTAGGCCCTTATATGTAACAACTCAATTATTTATAAGATATCAAATAACATAATTTCCTTGCCATTATTGCATAGAATATTCTCATGTTATTATTAATTAAAAAACGAAGTAAATTATAGTCCTGCTCACTGTGCCTCGATAGCTACTGAAAATCTGATTTATTCAGTGACAAACTTAACCGATGAATTTCCTGAAAGTTACATTAGCATATTTAAGTTGAATCATTTATTAATCATTTATTGAGTTTGAATGGCTTTAACATTAGTTAGCATTAAAGTGCTCTATAGTTGTCTTGAAAGAGATGCTTTATTGTGGATGAAGTCAATGGATGAATACACGATGAAGAGAAGGGACAGTTTTGCATAACATGCTGAGCAAAATGACAGTCTGTGACAACGATTTCGTGACCTACCTCACGCGAACGCCGATGAACTGTTTGTGCTTACACAAGCCGAGGAATACCGAATTTTGCACTCTAGCATGAATCATATCATAAAATGGGTCACCTATCGTTACCAGCTGAAATTCGAGCTATTCGATTCGATACGAACGAAAACTCGATGGATCTCCTTCAAAATTATAATTAAACAGTTAAAGCAGTCTAAATGAATCACTTTGACAATTTTCCTTGAATAATTTTACTAGAACAAGTACAAAATGGTTTTGCTGCAACGAAACTTCAACGAGCGAAAACTTTACGACTCCAATACGCATGTCATACCGTTGAAATGAGTTCCCGTGGCATTAACATTTTAATCATCCTTTGCACGGCTTTCAAACAGAATCATCAAATAATCATTCAGCCATAGCACCGTTAAAATTGTATTAGTTATTTTCATTGGGAATCCCGCGTTCGTTGCTTCGCAGATTGCAATTATTGATATACGTTTGTATACAGTAATGAAGCAAAATATAAATTGATACATTCAAATTGCGCTGATATGATGAAATAGACCAACGAACGTTGTCATAGGAAATGCTACATTTAGGTATGTCTATGGGATAATGACGGTGTTCTGTTTATGGATTGTATACACGTTATCTATTCATTTTTGCTTAAATTTCGTCGGGCAGTAATGACAATAATACTAACAACAATGTAATAAGAAAATAAGTGTGAACGAACATCGATTAAAATGTTACAATGAATTTAGATGCAATGAACTGACCTGCAGTAATCGCGGCTCGAATAAATGTATTACCGCTTTCCCCTATTGATTCTCTGGTTCATTCAAACCCCAGTTATAATTCCTCAGTCGACAGAGAGTCTTATAGATGAATGGTAGATTAATTGTATCGTTCAATGTTCCAACGCGAACGGCAAGAATGCGAGGCGTAGACTCGCTTCCCATTAAGTTCCGTTCGTTGATACATCGATAAATAACATCTATTTCTTACAGTTCCTCGGATCATGGTACATAGTCCAGTATTATGCGAGCTCGGAAGAAGCGCTCGCGTACAGATGCATGCGAGCCGAACTATCAATTTCACCCGAAAATACCGAAGTTACCATGAATTTCACTTACAGTTTCACCGATGATCCGATCAATGAACAACTCATCGGTAACATCACCTGGAAGATTCCTTCTGCCGAGTTACCTGCACATTGGGTGCACGCCGAATTTCCATGTAGGTATTAACATTACCTTCGGTTATTTTACTTGGCAATTAACATCAGTATCACGATGCTGTATAAATTCTTAATAAATGTCCTCGGTAAAAAGGATGATTCTTTAAATTCCGTATATAGGTCCAAAAGATAGATTCCATTTAGATTGTACAAAAATGACTAGATACTGTTTAACACGTGAAACGCCATATTAGTCACTGGTGAATGGCGCTTCTGAATGACTAGAAAACGTAGCATACAAGATAATCGATGTGAAGTGAAAATGTTTAATGACGTAACTAAGTTGATAATAGTGTAATGCAAACATAATGCCAAGTAAATAATAACTGTTCCGGCTTTTCTTCGCTATAAAAGAAAAATTCTATGGAACGCTTAAGATTTCCGTGGCGCTTAACGAGTTAATACATAATGAAAACTCTTTTTTGAGAAAATGTAATCTTTCCTTAAAGCACATTTACTCTTTATCCGTTTGATTTCTAATAAAAAAATTTGTTTCAATGTGTAAATTTTTTACACAGAATATTCAACAACTTTTCCGAATCTGTACACAGTATCTTCGTTTTACAGATGAAGGAGTGTACAATACTTACGTGCTAGATTCAGATTACAAATCGTGGGCATTGCTTATGCACTGCGCGGAACAGAGCAAAACTCCTCGATATTTATCTAGCTTCATCATGAGCAGGCAGTCGAGCCTCGGAGCTAACGTTATATCCTACCTCCGCGAGAAGTTGCCCAGGTGAGTAACTGAAATACAGCTCGGCTGAGCAGGGTTATTTATACAGGAATTTAATTTATCTTGTTTTCCGTGAGTAGGTACGACATTGATCTGGAGTACATGTTCCCGATGGACCAGCAACAGTGCAACAAAACGAGCACTTCGGAAATGGATTTACTGATGCCACCATCGTTGATGTCCAGAAAACATTTCGCCGAGCGAAAACATCCACTCAGAAAAAAACACCGACGATTCTGAATATGTTTATTCGAGGAGAAGCGATGTTCCATGAATTCAGATGAAAGGTTCCAAGTAATACGCAACGGATTAACACATTGACTGCCACGAGAATTTCGAGCGTTTCGTATAATACTACTCATTCTTTCGTAATAATGGTAAATGGTATTACAATGAATTATTAATTATTTGATACCATACTTCTTAAGTTATACTATTATTTAGTTGCTTGTGTAACTAAATATTTTCATTCGACATCAATTTTTTTATTGTAATTGTTGTTAAGAAATTTTAAAGCTATGGTCATTGGTGACCATCGTGGTGGTCAACGTGTTAAATATTTTTATTATTCTTGATGTTTCGTTAAAATAAAGGGAGGATTTCAATTGTAAAAATAAAATATTTGTATAAAAAATTCGTTGGGTTCTACGATGGTGGTTTCTTGGATAAATAGCAATTGATTAAGAACTCGTTGAGAAGCTGTTCTACGGATTAATAAAATTATTTATTTGAAATATGTAATAATTGATTGTTAAAAGCCGAGAAATTAGACTATTGGCGATGATACATTGTATTTTCAGTATATTATTTAACCGAATGTATAGGATACATATGACGAATATACCGAATTATGCAGAAAATATTTATAATACTCAAAAGTAATTGTTACATTATAGAGATTATCCAGTACTAGTCTATTTATACGCGAAGTACCCAGAATATTTGATATTGAAATGTATGGCAACGTTATGTTTATAATATCAACTTCGTACACATAGTCACGCTTGTCACTTAAACATGTGATCAATTTAGGTACTTACATATACGCATATATGAGATAAGATGTATGATGTACTTTAAATGGCTGTAAATTTCAAAATGAACGTATAAATAAAAGATTAATTTAATAATACAGAATTGATTTATTCATTTGAATTACTTATTAATTGAATTAATAGCCTATTAATATCGAACTGAGTATCAGCAAATTAATGTTTGCACTATCAATAATTGAGAAATATTTATAACTTATTCAGTTAGAATTTAAATTCACCAGAAATCAGAAAGCAAATAGTGGCGTCATCGAACAGTAATATAAGAAATAATTCATTTTCTGTTATCACTCGGAACGTTATCGGCAGAGTATGAACAAATACAAACACCAACGAAAAAGGGTACCGTTGAGTGTCGGTATTTCAGAACAGTCATTTGTGCATTATATCTAGATGGTGCTGTCATTGCTTCCGGTTTTAGAATTCTACTATTCTCCATCAGTACCATTTGCTCACCAGTTGCGCATTCTACCACGGATGGCGCCACTGATTAAAGTTCATTTCCATTGAATAATTTTTGAAAACCTTAGCTCGGTACTTAATAAATTAATAATAACAAATAATAATTCATAAAAACATTAGTTGCCATTAATTTTCTAAAAATTCATGAAATTGTAATAAAAATCATTCAGAACGTCTTTTACATTTTAAAGTAGATAGAAGAGTAACTAAATGGGAAATTTATTAAGTAACACTATATTAGCTCGAGTATCTTAATTTTAAATCAAACGAAAAGAAACGTTGTTCAACCCTACATATTTATATTACTACTATAACAATGGGAAGCATAGGAGAAATGAATTGACACGGACTATCATATATTAAATACAATGTTTATTGCTTCGCCAAAGTATTCAATATTCCAGAAGTATATTTACGTTCTATGAATAATATTCGAGAGCATACTGACTCTTAAAATATTCGAAATACAATGTTTGCAGCCATTAGCTCTGTATTGTTCCTGATTAACGATGTGCTATCGGGGATAATACAGATTGCCCGGGTCTCACCGCGTGGAGGTTGCTGCTAGTGGAAACCCAAGGAAGATAGATAAGAACACATTGAGCATCGATGGAACATCTGTTTTCTGTTTTATGCAAATTCTTGCGAAGGTACATGTCGTTTGTTAAGTAAACGCAATTTCACTCTTCTCGTACGATAATCTCGTTGCAAGCAGTCGAAACGGACCGCAGGCTCGCATTCTGTCTAGAAAAGATACCTTTCGCTCTATCTCGCGGACTCTATTAACTGTACATAGTTTCGTTCGTGCTACAGACATTAAAGGAACTGTAAAGCCTGACTTACAATAGTTAAGAACTTAATCGACCAACTACTTCAACAACACGCTGCTCTCTATCGTCTCACGCAAGAAATCATCCAATCGTTACTGAAAGATTTCATTAACCTTACAGCTCGCAATATAATAAATACAAATGTCATTCGATCCTTTTGAATTTAAATTAATCCTTTGCACTCAGGAGGTGAATCTCACCATTTGATTCGACGCAGTGAAACTATAAAATCTGATATTTAATGTTGAACTTTGTATAATGCCTCAATACGTGAAATATTGGAATAAAATAGCTTTGTTCCTCAATATATTTGTGATTTTCCTTAGAGTTAACTTCAAAGAATATCGTCTTCGCCTCGTTAAAAAATGTTTACTTCTAGTGAGAATCTTCCGAGTGCAAAAGGTTACACATTCCTTTTCTATTACCATACGTTACTCTTTAAAGTAAACGCAGATATATAATAAATATAATAATCCTTTCTTTTCTGGTAAATTGTTAATGACAAAGAAGTTTTAATGAATGCTGTTATAGAAGAAAAGGAGGGATTCAAATTTCAGATGGAATACTTTCGTGATATGTAACATATTAACGCAGAGAATTTTAGAGGAAATCTTATAGAGTCCGAAACGTTGTAAGTGATTCTCAACGAAAATTTGTCGTGATTTTAAAGTGTCAATTGGATGATGTCTTTAGTCAGATATCTATGTTATTCTAAACGTAAGTTTCGAAACACCATCTAAAGTTTGTTTCGATGATATCGCCAGTCGATGTTATTGTTCAGAAATCTTGAAGGGACGCTTACAGTCGTATAAACTTGTACTTGCGACGAGGACAATCTGAACGGCCATGCGGACGTTCTGTTCTCTTGTCGAAGATCTCCGTTTCACTACGAAACACGTAAACTAGAGTAAAATAGTTTCATCTTTCGTCCACATACATATATTAAGACAAGCGTCTGCGGTAAGATTCATACGAAATATAGTTTCTCGTTAATAGTCCGTTATCTTCTCACAGTTGAAGCACTATCTCTTGATAAGGGATATTTATGTACATGAAAGCATGCTTAACACTGCAGGGACCAGATCATTCCAAATATTTTAAACACTGCACTTTTATTATTTTTTTTCCGGAGCTACTGAAAATTCGACAAGTATGCAAAGTACGAAAGATCCCAACTGCACCGTAGAAGTGCTTCGATAAAGACTAGAATTAAGTACGAGTTCATTAGAATTTATTTAAAGCCTTATCGAACACTTATTAATAAATATTTTTTAAAGTAATTTATAAATACTGTAATCGAATAATAGAATACGTTTATTCTATTCAGAAGTCTATCAGATTTAAAATAAAACGAAGATCTTTTGAAATCATATTAAACATTCTATTCTATTGGTATTTAGACAACCATTTGTGTCATCGATTCTGCAGTCTATTTGTTAAAGTTTCCACTTGCAACGTATTGCTTTCTAGTATTAAACTTTCTTTGAAAAATAGAGTATAGCTTAAAACGATATGGATACTTTCTCTAGGCAGACAGAAACACTGGCCCGTCTAGTGTTAAACGTTACGTATACTCGCGTATATTGCACTATTATCCACGTAGGAAAAGTATGAATTCTTTATTATTGCGTTGACCTCTTGAACGTAAAAACTAGAGCGTATCTTTGGCACAATTAAGAGGTATTTGCAGTTCTGAAACATCTCTTCGTTTGTTAATCTAAGCTACCACCAAGCCGTCGATCCCATTGTGGCTCTCGTTATACAAGGTGTCCCCAAAAAAAACGGCGCAGTTTCGAATCGAACAGCAAAAACAATGTTAAGAGAAGGATTAAACAAACACACGTACGCTATATCCAGTCTACAAACAATATCATTCTTTGCTAGATCTCGAACTAGTGTCTTTTTCTTTGAGGCTACCCTGTATACAGTGATACTTCGAAAAAAGCTCGCCTTCGAGGGATTAACGACAAAATAGGCGTACACGCCGATTTTAGTGTTTCGTAAGAAAGAATTCATTTTTGAATATAAAATCTGTCAACACAGTAACTGATATGGTGGTCACTAATAACTACAGCTTCAACATTGCTTGGAAATGATTACAATAAGAAGATTGATGTCGAATAAAAATATTTAGTAACGTAAGTAATACGTACGTAGTATATTGGATAACAGTGTAAGAATTGTGATACCAAATGGTTAATAATTATTTCTAACGCTATTCATCATTGGTATAAAACAATAAATAATACTATGTAAAACACTAAAAAATCTCGCGACAATCCACGTGTTAACTTCCGATTGGCGATCGTTACTTGAACCGAAGGCGAGCGTTTCTCGGGCCGTCGCTATAATTTAAGCACCAGATTACAAAAAATTGAGACGGATTCGTTTACTGTCACCTGGCCATTTCTGTACACGTGTATCAATTTCCCAGTTGCTACGCATTTGTAAGTATATCTTATATCATCTACGCACAGTGTACAATTACGACTTACACGCTAACAGATAATTCGTTAATACCTCGTTCCTTTGGCACAAACTCGACAACCACACCGATCACAAACATCGAAAATACTTTTAGCGAATCGTGCGCCATCGTCGAATATCCTTGATCGCTTAGCTTTCAGTGCCACACACTTAAGTACGTTCGTTACGTATATACAAGGTGAGCAGAAAAATAATATATTCTCGTGATGAACACCTTCGCGAAGTGGCACCATTCCTTTTTAACACGTTCACTGGCGTATTCGAATTTCAATCTCTGAACTCCGACATGAAAATCTCGTGCAGTGTTATGAGGGATAAATCATTGAGTACCGGTGGACAAGATGTTTTAAACAAATGAGGAAATAAATATTATCTTTATGTATGTTGATTCTGTTTTAACAATATTGCAGACCATTTTGATGAAGTTTGAATAGTGATTGATTTGCCAGTTAACGTGTTAATTTCTATTCTGAATAATCTCGCGTGTGCATCCCATTGGTGGATATTCGTTCGTGCCGGTACTCCCACACATTCTCTAAATGCCCTATATACTTTGTAGTTTCACAGAATTACCCTTCGATTTAAAGATACTCGCGGTTTTCAGCGGTGATTGGAAAAACGTTCGAGAACCACCAGTTCAATTAGTAAAATCATGGAAACATATGTCTATATGTTTCGTAGTAACTTCCAATGGGAACAAAAATAAAAGATATCACATTGCGATAGAACGCAGTGTGCTGTAATATTTTAACGAAATATCAATTTAAAATCTCATAAAATTTCAAACACAAAAGGATCATCCACAACGAAATGACATTAAACAGTTTTTCTAATAATCGTTATATCTCCCCTAATAGTGAAATAAGTACGCACAGTGATATAAAAGTCCACTTATCGATTAACCACGAATATTCACGCGCAATTTCGCAGCGTATATACACAACAAATAAAAAAGAACCAGGACAATAATCATTCCTTCTCCCGAAAAACATATTAGATATGTAAAACACATCGGGCAACAAAAAATAAATCTTTCCTCCATGTTCAACAAACGTCACTTTCGTTCGTCGCAGAACTGAAATCGATCGCGGGCGAATAAACGTATATAAATAAATAAATACTTCAACGAACTAAATAAATACACGCGTGAATTAACACGTCTACTGCCACGGTGGTCACCAGTGACCAGAACTTCCGAATTGCTTGGAAACAATCACAATGAAAATATTGTTGTCGAGCAAAAATGTTTAGTAACGTAAACAACTAAATAATAGCATAACAATAGTAGCGCAACTACTGTAAAAAACTGTAACAGCAAATCAATAATTGAGTTGTTTCCAGATTAAAGCGATTAATTCCATTATTCGAATGTTCTCAAATCTCAGCGGCAAAACGATTAACCAACTGTTTACGTATGCAATTACAAACTCCGTTATTGTTCATGTTACAGAGTTAACCATTTTACCGAATGAACAGCACAATTATCTCTGGCACCGTTTATCTCTTTGCTACGAAAGGATAAGTGATATCACGTGGAACGTTCGGAATTCTTATGGCAGTGAACGCGTTAATCAACAAGAGAAACAGCCAACAGAAAAGAATGTTTCAGTGTCGCAGCTCGAACGCGCAGTTCGTGTAAAGATGGATCCTCTGGTGGTCCCGCAAGTGGTGCCGGTGTTTGAACCGTTTTTTGCACCAGGCGCACTGAAATCTGGGACCGACGCCGCACTCCAGCCGTAGGTGCCTGGTCAAGTTGCACTTGTGCGAATACGTGCGTCCACACTTCGGGCACAAAAATGGCGGCCCGTCCTCCAGATCCTTCAGCATTTTCCACACTGTAAC